AGAATGAATGTCTGTTGGAATGGCACAAAATGTTCACTAAACCAACAATAAATATTTTCACCACACCTAACCACCTAAGTGAATTTTATGAGTTCTAGGACTTTGCAGAAATGGGGTAGTGGTGTCTAAGCTTGTCTGGCTTATATCTGCCAGCTATTTTTCTGGATTTAAAGTTTTCTTTCCATCACTACAATTTTTAACTCAGATGAATTTCTCTCATCATTGTGTTTGGAATCTTTCTCCCCAACTTGCTAAAGCTCAACATTAAAACTGCTGAAATGGCATCATCACTTATTAAATGGATAAGTGATAAGTAGAGATACGAGGGCAGATAATTAGTCAGATTTTTAATATCAAAGAGATATTAAATGAAGGCCCAGGGAGCAAGCCATGGCTAGAGGCACAATCTGAGATATTGAGTGGCTGGGAAACACAGAAAAATAAAAAGGTGTCATCATTTGACAAAATTTCTCATCATGTTCCAAGCTATTTTCTTTATTAGCTTTATTATTTTGTTATTAATCTACCTATCAATCTCACTTTAAACACATTTTCAAAAGTTTCCCCTTCCCCTCCACCCTGGGGAAATAAGTTTTAATGTAGCATAGTGACTAATCCTCTCCCTACACTCAAGTGATCTCCAAAATAACATGACTGGAACTAAATTGTTCCCATCTTTAAAAACTTTAAAAAACACACACAATAACATAAAATTTGAGAATGTCCAGGTTGTTTTCATGTTTTTTAATTTTTTAAAATGTATCTTTACTGTTGAAAGTATTACAGTGGGGGCCCCTTATTCCCCCACTGATCCCCTCTACCCCGCAACCACCCCACCCCCAGGCCTTCCCCATAAAAATGTCTGTGCCCATGGGTTATGCTTATAAACATATAAGTTCTTTGATTAATCTCTCCCCACTCACTCCCCCACCTCCACCTTCCCTCTGAGAGTCAGTCTGTTCCATGCTTCTATGTCTCTGGGTCTATTCTGTTCATCAGTTTATTTTGTTCATTACATTCCACATATGAGTGAGATCATGTGGTACTTGTCTTTCTCTGCCTGGCTTATTTCACTTAGTGCAATACTCTCCAGTTCCTCCCATGCTCTCCCAAAGGATAAGAGATCCTTCTTTTTTATAGCTGCATAGTATTCCATGGTGTAAATGTGCCACAGCTTTTTATCCACTCACCTACTGATGTGCATTGAGAAGAATGTATATTCTGAAGCTTTGGGGTGGAATATTCTATAAATGTCAATTAAATCCATCTGATCTAGGGTGTCACTTAGGGTCACTGTTTTCTTGTTGATTTTTTGTCTGGAAGACCTATCCAGTGAGTCAGTGGGGTGTTAAAGTCCCCTACTATGACTGTATTGCTGTCTATCTCTCCCTTAAAGTCTTCTAGAAGTCTTTTATAAATTTAGGTGCTCCTGTATTGGGTGCATATATGTTTATCAGGGTTATATCCTCTTGTTGGATTGATCCCTTTAGTATTATCTTGTCTCTCATTATGGCCTTCACTTTGAAGTCTATTTTGTGCAATATGAGTGTTGCTACCCCAGCTTTTTTTTTTCTCATTTCCATTTGCATGGAAAAAAATTTTTCATCCTTTCACTCTCATCCTGTGAGAGTCTTTTGTTCTGAGGCGGGTCTCTTGTAGACAGCATATACTTGGGTCATGTTTTCTTATCCATTCAGCCACCCTATGTCTTTTTATTGGAGCATTTAATTTACATTTAAGGTTATTATTGATAGATACTTATCTATTGCAGTTTTAATTCTTCATGCCTATGTTTCTCTCACTCTCTATTTCTACTTGTAATTACAGCAGTCCCTTTAACATTTCTTGCAATGCTGGTTTGGTGGTGATAAACTCTTTTAGCCTTTTTTGTCTGGGAATCTCTTTCATTCACCATCTATCTTGAATGATAGTCTTGCTGGATAGAGTAGTCTTGGTTTCAGATCCTTGTTTTGCATTACCTTGAATGCTTCATGCCAGTCCCTTCTGGCCTGTAGAGTTTCTCATGAGAAGTCAGCTGACAGCCTTATGGGAGCTCCTTTGTAGGTAACAGATTGCTTTTCTCTAGCTGCCTTTAATATTCTCTTTGCCTAGTATTCTTGGAATTTAAATTATGATGTGTCTGGGCGTGGACATATTTGGGTTCTTCTTGCTTGGGACTCTTGGTACCTCCTGAACTTGTGTGACTTTTTCCTTCCCCAGGTTAGGGAAGTTTTCTGCCATTATTTCTTCAAACAGGTTCTCTAAACTTTGCTTACTTTCAACCTCTTCTGGCACTCTTATAATGCAAATATTGTTATGTTTCATGTTGTCCCACAGCCAGCTTAAACTGTCCCCTTGTTTTTTAATCATTTTTTTCTCTTTGGCTCTCTGATTGAGTGATTTTTTTTTCTACTTTTTCCTCTGATTCACTGATCTGATCCTCAGCTCCCCCTAATCTATTTATTCCTCCCAACGTATTCTTTATTTCTGCTATGTCATCCTTCATTTCTGATGTTTCATTGTTTCACTTTTCGTAGTTTCCATATCGTTTTCATGCTGTTGAGCATACTTACAATCAGTATTCTGAACTCTATATCTGATATATTGCTTATCTCCTTTTCATTTAGCTCTTTTTCTGGAGACTTCTCTTGTTCTTTCACTTGGGGCTTGTTTTTTGTCTCCACATTTTGGCTGCCAATTTGGGTTGTTTCTATGTATTAGGTAGATCTGCTAGGACTCTCCATCTTTTTGGAGGGTCTCACGTGGAGACCAATGTCATACACTGTTACTGGCCTTGAGTACCCTGTTTGAAGCTATCAACAACCCTAGTCTGGAGGTCTCCTCTGCTGGAGCTGGGTGCATTTGGACAGGACCAAGATACACACCAAAGTCTGCTTTTCCAAGGCCCAGGTCGAGAAATAGAGCAGGCAAAGACTCAAAGCACCCTGAGGTCTGCCTCTGCCATTAATCTGATTCTCTTAATGAGCCTCAGGCTGTAGAAACTCCTCTGGACAGGGCTAGAAGTTTTCCAGAAGTGTGGGACAATTCCTTCACCCC